ATGGAATTACTCCATTACCATTTCATACATAATGAAAATGTCATCTCAGATATGATAACGTATTTACCAGTTTCACTTCGGTTCTCAGGCAACATTCAGCACCTGCACCCAACCTGTATGTATATATAGTTGTGTGTGTGTGTGTGTGCGCGTGGGTGCAGCATGTGCAACAGTATCTATCTAGGGCAGAGAAGGGCTCGATGGGAAAAGGCATTCTGTTCAGGTCACTTAGTATAGTTACTGTTGCCAGTATGTGAGAGAGAAGGGAGAGATGGAGAGAGGGAGAGAAATAGAAATGGGGAAGTTTTAAGAACTATATATTGGGTTTTGTGTATATTGTGACAACTCCAGGCTTTCTAGCCACCAGAACAAACAAATTACCTGAGCAAATATCCAAATGTAGTAATGGTGATGCAGTGTAATTGGATAATAAATGTTAATCTCGGTTAACCCAGAACTAAAGTCTCACGTAATTGGTCAGCTGCTCAATTAAGTTGTGGGTCTATACATGTTAAGAGAAGGGATCAAGAAATGCTAGAAGAAGGACCGGAACCAGAACGAGGAGCTCCACCCTCTCTCTTTGCAAGTTACGGCCCGAATGTCCCCTCCCCTTCTGAAATTCAAAAGATGCTAACACCTGCGAAATTGTGATTTGTCCAAATTGCCAGTGACGAAAAAACCCATACACCAGAATTACTGCTGCTCATTATCCTACGCATCCCATTCCATTCTCAACAGATTTTACGGTACCAGTTACGTCCACGAGAGATTAAATAAATGTTGACACCAACTAAATATTTTTACATTTCACTGGCAATTTGGGGACATTTCTGGGGCTAGCATCAAACAGACAGTAACCCTGCTCCAGACCAGGGCAGCTTCGGTTTTAGCCCTGGCCTAAGCGGGAAAACGTGCAGTGTGAAAAAAAACTCACCTTTAGTGTGTCAGAAGGAAAATAAGGTATTTCTCTGCAAGGTCACAGCATCATGCTTGCTCACATTCAAAGGAGGGCACAATCCGAAAATAGCGATGCAGAGGGGGGAGGGGGGAAGGGGGGGGGCTAGTGATGAGTGAGAATGAGAGAGAGGAGGAGAGAGTCATTGTAATTCAGGTCCTGTGAGCTATTGTTCTTTGGATGGATAGCGAATGTTTAATCACTTAATCTCCAGCTTCACATTTTCCCTCAAATTTCCTCTCCAGAACGACACTTTAATTTCCACCAGAAAGAGCACTAATGATTTTCTTCTCATAATTCATAAAGCACACAGGGGATGTTGAGGAGAGGAAAGGGGGGGGGGGGGGGGGGTCAGGGTAAGGGGTTAGTGGTTAGTGGTTAGGTTTAGGAGTTAGGGTTATGGTTAAGGTTAGGGTGGAAATACATTTTAGGTCCTCACGAGGATAGAAGAACAAAACGTGTGTGTCCGTCCTGGGGACAGAAACATTGCTTTTGTTTAGGAACATCAGGTTTTTTATCCCAGAAGACAGTATACCTATGAGAGTTCAGTAGATGCAGTGCCTTCAGAAAGTATTCAGACCCCTTGACTTATTCCATATTTTGTTGTGTTACAGCCGGAATTCAAAATTGATTTAAAAAGAAAAGTCTCACCCATCTACACACAATACCCCATAATGACAAAGTGAAAACATGTTTTTTGAAATGTTAAATTTTTTATTGAAAATGAAATACATAAATATCTAATTTGCATAAGTATTCACACCCCTGAGTCAATACATGTTAGAATCACCTTCAGCAACTCCAGTGTATATTTGACCTGCTGAAAGGTGAATTTGTCTACCAGTTGGAAAGCAGACTGAACCAGGTTTTCCTGTAGGATTTTGCCTGTACTTAGTTCTGTTCCGATTTGTTTTAATCCTAAAAACTCCCTAGTCCTTGCCGAATACAAGCATACCAAATAACATTATGCCGCCACCACCATGCTTGAATATATGAAGAGGGGTACTCAGTGATGTGTTGGATTAGCCCCAAACATAGCGCTTTGAATTCAGGACATAAAGTTACGTTTTACTTTAGTGCCTTATTGGAAACAGGATGCATGTTTTGGAATATTTGTATTCTGTACAGGCTTCCTTCTTTTCATTCCGTCATTTATGTTAGTATTGAAGAATAACTACAATGTTGTTGATCCATCCTCAGTTTTCTCCTATCACAGCCATTAAACTCTGTAACTGTTCTAAAGTCACCATTGGCCTCATGGTGAAATCCCTGAGTGGTTTCCTTCCTCTCCGGCAACTGAGTTAGGAAGGACGCCTGTATATTTGTAGTGACTGGATGTATTGATGCACCATCCAATATGTAATGAATAACTTCACCATGCTCAAAGGGATATTCAATGTCTGCTTTTTTTTTTTTTTTTTTTACCCATTTACCAATAGGTGCCCTTCTTTGCGAGGCATTGGAAAACCTCCCTGGTCTTTGTGGTTGAATCTGTGTTTGAAATTCACTGCTCGACTGAGGGATCTTACAGATAATTGTATGTGTGGGGTACAGAGATGAGGTAGTCATTAAAAAATCATGTTGAACACTATTATTGCACACAGAGTGAGTCCATGCAACGTGACTTGTTAAGCAAATTTTCACTCCTGAACTTTTTAGGCTTGCCATAACAAAGGGGTTGAATAGTTATTGACATTTCAGCTTTTCATTTTTGATTAATTTGTAAACATTTCTAAAAACATAATTCCACTTTGACATTATGGGGTATTGTGTGTAGGCTAGTGACACAACATCTCAATTTAACCTATTTTAAATTCAGGCTGTAACACAAATAAAATTGTAAACAGTCAAGGGGTGTGAATACTTTCTGAAGGCACTGTATATGAGAAGCATATAAATGGTAAAGTACAGATACTTTATTTAACAAAATGCAGCAGAAGGTTCATACATCTCATACAGCAAAACTCCTTCCATTTGTTTAGGCAGAAACTGAAAATAATTATAAAAAAAGACTTCTTCTAATCTAGCCTATGGTAGCATTTCAAATAAGATTCATCGTTTCAGATCCACTGTTTCAGCTTTCTTTAAATACAATACAGTATATGATATTATTTAGTTTTATTTTGTGGTTAAAAAAGCTCACAAATGCAGAATATGTGTCGGGATGGAATTCAATCGTAACGTTTTAGACTTCAGCATGATTGAATTCCGATCTCAGGTCAACTGATCAGTTATATCTCTGGGTTAGAAGTCAGTGTTTCATGTAAGGGGTCTAGGGTACGGGACTGAAATAAGGGTTCATAGACAGGTTGAGGTTAGGATGAGGGTCGAGGTTAGGATGTGGATCAGGGTTAGAGGTCAGGGTCAGAGGTTACAGGTCAGGGGTTAAGGCGTCCGCATGCTTCCGAAACAGTTCGAAACAGTTTGTGCATATATAATGACGACATTTTGTGACGTTTTTGTTTGTTTTGGACTTCGGCAAGGCTTTTTTCAGCTGTTCTTGCACACTAAATTTTTTCGCGAGGCAAGCCGAAGTTGGTAGCCAAAGTCTACACCCCCTCGTCGGAATTGTTCAATGAAGTTCTCATTCAACGAGAGACGACTCGTTCTCATGCAGATTTTTTCACTTGAGAAATACTGCACCAAACATCTTAGTTAGATGTCCCGAGTGGCGCAGTGGTCTAAGGCACTGCATCGCAGTGCTAGCTGTGCCACTAGAGATCCTGGTTAGAGTCCAGGCTCTGTCGCAGCCGGCCGCGACCGGGAGACCCATGGGCGGCGCACAATTGGTCCAGCGTCGTCCAAGGTAGGGGAGGGTTTGGCCGGCAGGGATGTGGGTTCGTTTCCCACGGGGGGCCAGTATAAAAAAAACTAAAATATACATGTATGCATCCACTAACTGTAAGTTGCTCTGGATAAGAGCGTCTGCTAAATGACTAAAATGTCAAATTGTGCAACTAAGATCTCCTTGGCAAAAAACTTCAAAGTTAATGAAAGATTACTTGAATTATCTTCGATTAATTCTGACTATTTTGAGGAAGTGGCTACGGCATCTCAAAATGGACAAACAGTAGTATTGCTGTTTTTTTCTCATTTTTCAAACAAAGGTCTTTTAAGGGAGTATGCGAGCACAGTCATTCGTACTGAAGCATGCTGACGCCTTTAGCCTAAGGACAAAGGTAAGGGACCATGGCAGAGAGAGGGCCAAGGACAGACCCAGTTCCATGTCCCAGTACAAGTCTCGGATCAGAGAAGAGGGTGGGCATAGCTGTGGTCAGGGTTAGGATTAGGGTCAGGGTTAAAATGTCAGAAGTAAGGGTAAAATGACATCTTGTTCTGAGGACCTATACATGTATAATCAACTCAAATTAAAGCCTTAAATAACATATTTTGATGCGACAAAACAGTAAAACCTTTAAATCTTACCATCTTTTCTCCATCGTTTTTACAAGTTCTTTACATATTTGAACAGACTGCTGGTTGGTAGATGTGACCTTCGGACTGTTGAACTTGTTATTGTTGAACCCTTCAGAGGCCTTTGTCCCAGAGGCTAGGAATAGAGTCTGTATCTTTTCCCGTCCTTCTGTTGTTCTCTCTGTCTGTCTGTTCCTATCCTTCAGACCACATCCATGGCCAGGCTGAGCAAAGAGCTGCAGGGAACGTTGATCCTCTGAAGGATTTCATTGCAATTGAAAGATTCTATATTCAAATTTCACAGGTTCTTCAAGTTGTTCCCAGAGGGGTTCTTTCAGTAGTCTGATCTGATCTGGACATCACAGAAGCCCCGCTCCAGGGCAAGTCACACGGCAACACAAACCATTTTTGATGCAGCTTATAGACAAGCAATGTTTCCATGATGTATGGACCATATTGGCAGCCATTTTGGATGTTCCCATTTATAATGTTTCATTTACTGATGCACATTACTTCCTCTCCCAGAGTTCATCACTTCCACTCCCTCAGTGTTCTACACATGCAACACGGCAGACTGAATCGTCGTCTTAGTTGGACTGGAGAAACTGTCCTGGTCCATCTATGTCTGTGGTTATACGCGTGTGGTGGAGTGTGTGTGTGTGTTGGGGTGTGTGTGCGTGTGTGTATGGGGCAGGTGTGTGTTACTGTAAGGACTAAAGCCCTGCATGGGTTGCACCCCCACAACAGAGCCAGGTGTCATGGGGGTCATGGGGGTGGCGGGGTGAGAGCCAGGGGTCATGGGCAGGGACCTGGGAGTCATCAGGGGCACGTCGTCAGGGGAGCGTCTCAGGGTCAGGGTGTAGTCAGGTGGACAGGTCAGTCGCAGGGTGTCCAGAGTGTTGTAGATGTCCTGTGTGTCCAGCGTGTCCAGAGCCTCCAGCGTGTGGTGTATGTTGTGTGTGTCGTGTATCTCCAGGGTGTTGTGTTGGTGCAGAGCCTCAGCCTCCAGCTGCTTCAGAAGCCCCTCCCCCTGCAGCTGGTGTGTGATGTCAGCATTGATGATGTCATGGCGTGGAGGTGGGCGTGGTGGCCTGCGGTGTTCCATCTTGCGCTTGTCCTTCTTGTAGAGCAGAGCGGCGAAGGCCAGGATGTTGAGGAAGAGGAGCGAGGCTCCCACTGCGATGGTAACGCTCAGCTCAGTAGAGTAGTCCTCCATGACGGGGTGGGGGACCTGCAGCTCCTCCCCCTGCAGGGCTGGAGCCTGGGGCGTGGCCGGGGGGTTGGGGTGGCGCGTGCTCCCCAAGCCCAGGCCTTTAGACAGCCGTTTGGTGTAGGAGTGAGGGGTTGTGTCCTGGGGAGGGCTGTGGGTTGCAGACGATACGTACTGCAGCAACTCGTTGATGTTGTGGAGGTGGGGCACCAGCTGCAGCCAGAACGCTGTTTTGGTGGCTCTGGAGATTTTGCAGCAGAATCATCATCCATAAAAAGGAAAAATACATTTAAAAAGGAATCGGACAAAATATACACAATAACATAAGATAACATCATAAATTATAAATTATAGTTATTATACATTAAACAGTCAGAAGGGGAAAGTGGCAAGTGCTGCTAGCATGAAGTGCTAACAGTGCAAAGTGGTTCATTATACATTATTTAACAAGATATGGCAGCAGCAAGATATCTGTTTCTCTTGGAAAGGCAGGCAGGGAAACGTCTACCTGTAGTGATTTGTGCATCTACCTGTCTGTGCTTATCTGATCTACCTGTAGTGGTCTGTAATGGTCTGTGAATATCTGATCTACCTGTAGTGGTCTGTAATGGTCTGTGATTATCTGATCTACCTGTAGTGGTCTCTGACGCGTGGCTTCAGGCCGATGTGCAGGTACAGCTGTTCCTTGGGGGTGTACTTGGCCCAGGCCACCTCCTCAAAGCGGTTGGGTTTGGTGTGGATGAACTTGGTGTCCTGGGGCACTGGCTGGTTAGGATCTCTGAGACAGAGAAGAAAAAACACAGTCAGGAAAAGTTATCTTAAAAGTTAACCATGGTTACTTTACCATTCATTAGAGGAAAGTAATAGATGGTTCTTAGCGAAGGAGTTAGACAATAAATTTGTATCACCCTGTCTTGGCGAAGTTGGTCCAGTATGTCATGACCACGGCGCTGAGCATCACATCGTTCTTAGAGAAGTTACAATTGAAGAGGTCCGTGGGTCCGATCAGCGGCAGACCGAACACATACGGCACCTCATCTCCGTGGGCGGAGTCAGCCCAGGCGGGCGACACGTCACTCTGACAGTGGTGGTAGAAGGAGTAGAAGTATGTTGGCGATCCGTACTGGGCGTGGAGGTCTGCTGTGGCCACCGCCGGCGCCACCCACTGGTGATCAGTGAACAGAGCGACTAGCGTCTTCCGCCGGGTTTCAGGGTTCTCCCGGTCGGCCCAGTCTGTGTACATGAACTTGATGCTCTCTCTCAACGTGTCCTACCGCAAGGATAAAAACAAGGTTAAAAAAGACCTTGTCAATAAAGCTCATGGGAGCATAGATGGATTGCAGTATGCAGAGTCTATTTTTACTTTTTGCTGAACATATTCTTTGCCCTCCAGCACCTGCATAGAAACACTGGATGTGCATATACATTTTCCTACAGCCTACCTTCCCCTCCGGGTAGCCGTAGAGACTGTCCACGAAGTCTGACACGGCAAAGTCAAAATCGTCGCCAGAGACGCCATCCTCACTGTTGACTATCCCGTCAACGAACTGAAGCCCCTCCCCCTGGTTCACACCCAGCATAATGTCATAGTTGAGGAACTCCCCCTGTGGGTGAAGAACAGGGTTGTCAATAACAATATTATGCATCCTTAACCCTCATCTCAGAACCCAACATGAAATCTAAATCTAAATCTAATAAACCATATAACTTGTAATAGATATAATATACACTGAGTGTACAAAACATTAAAAACACCTGCTCTTTCCAAGACATAGACTGACCAGGTGAACCCAGGTGAAAGCTATGATCCCTTATTGATGTCACTTGTTAAATCCAATTCAATCAGTATAGATGAAGTGGAGGAGACAGGTTTAAGAAGGATTTTTAAGCCTTGAAACAATTGAGACATGGATTGTGTATGAGTGCCATTCAGAGGGGGAATGAGCAAGACAAATGATTTAAGTGCCTTTGAATGGGGTATGGTAGTAGGTGCCAGGCGCACCGGTTTGTGTCAAGAACTGCAACGCTGCTCAACAGTTTCCCGTGTGTATCAAGATGCAACTCAGTATTAGGAAGGTGTTCTTAATGTTTGGTATACTCAGTGTATGTAAACCATAGAGTGTTTTATATTTTCTCACCTGCTCCATGAGTATCTGGGGGTCATCAGGGATGACATCACCGTCGATGACAGGTCCGAAGGCGGTGTGGTATTTAGCTGGGGTGATGTTCTGTTCCAGCAGCTCCTGGTAGGTCTTCCCCTGCAGGCAGGCAATCAGCTCTGAGGAGTCCTCCATGTTGCAGCCCACTTTGTCCCCCAGCAGCCTTGCATACTTCCCTGGCTGGTAGTTGACCGCCCAGCTGGACAGGGCTGTCCCACTCTGGATGATCGCCTTCTGGAACAGATCTGATACACAGCATGCTGACAGAGGTTAGAGGTCAGAGGTTATGTGTCAGGAATTGGAGGTGACTCTTTGAAAAGTGTGACCAGGCTGACAGAAGTTAAGAGGTCAAGGGTAAGGGTTCACAGGTTGGGTTCGGGGGTTAGAGGTTACTTACCCTCAGAGTAGTGGGACAGAGTTAGCAGGCTGACACAGGAGGCTCCAGCCCCAGAGCCAAACACAGTGACTCTGTCTGGGTCTCCGCTGAATGCAGCAATGTTCTCCTTGACCCATCGCAGAGCCTGGATCTGGTCCAACAGACCATAGTTGCCTTTAGCTGCCTGGTCGCCCGTACTGAGGAAACCTGAAGAAATAACACATGCAAAATACACAAAAATATAAAAGGAAAGTCTAGTAAATATCAAGAGTAAAAATATATTTTAAAATAAGACATCAAACAGGAACATCTTATTTAAAAATACTTTTCATCAAAGATATGAACAGCAGGATGTAAATATTGGCTAGGAACTAAAGGGAAACACTACTTCAAAAGGAAACACTAGGTTTGATTCCTTACAGTTCTGGGACTACATGTAGTAAGCTCACTGGGGATTGGCTACTACGGCAGATACTTATCAATCTCTCATTAATGATTTTAATAAATCAATAATAACAATTATTACAGTATGCTGTTACAACCTAAGCCTAACGCTAACCCAGTATGTGGCTACAGTCGTGCACTAACCCTTACTGTAGACAATATTCATTGTCTAAACACAAGAAAAGTCTTAGTGAGATTGACAGACATGTTTTGCAGTGTAGCCAAACCCTGAGGACTCGGTGACTAATGATGTCATGTGACCGTGGCTCACCACCCTCAGTCAGACCTGGGGTAGACCTGGGACACCAGGACATCTGCGTGTCACTGAACACATGCACACACACAGACGCAAAATGAGTGTGTCACTAATTCACACACCACACTAGGGACATGAGACACACAGGATGAGCTGGAGCGTGTGGGTGTCACTGAGGGCTGAGCCACAAGATACATGTGACTTTAAATGATCATATGTCAGATCACTTCAGCCCTCCTATCCCCACCCTTCCTCCTCCCTTTTCCTCCTCCTCCCCTCCCCCTCTTTTCCTCCTCCTCCACTCCCTCACTCCCTCTTTCCTTATATAATTTCCTCTCCCCTCCTCTCTCCCCCCTCCCTCACCCTCTCTCTCATTCCCTTCTCCTCCTTGCCTCTCACCCTGCCTCTATTCTCTCTCTCCTCTCCTTTACTCTCTCACCCCCACTTCTCCTCTCTCTCTCCTCTCATCCTTCTCTCAAAAGCTTAATTGAACTCCACCTACTGTGAGCCATAAACACAGATCTGATGGCTCCCCTCTAACCAGGCAAACAAACACACACACACACACACACACAAGAGAGATTCATCTGGCTGTGTACGGCCTGCTAGCTTCCCCGTAGCAACACAGAAAGGTGACATTTCAACCAGTGAAAGAGTAACAGAAAGGTGATTAGGCGGAATCTAACGACAGTGATGATGATAACGACAACGACAGTGATGATGATGATGATGAAGGTGACTAACCCAGTACTCCCAGCCTGTAGTTGATTGTGATGACGATGACGTTTCCATAGCTAGCCAGGACACTGCCGTCCATCATGCTGCCGCTCCCCTCGGAGTAGGAACCTCCGTGGACATACACCATCACCGGCCTCAGACCGCCCTCATCATGGATGTCTGGAAACACACACACAAGCCATATTTTCAGAGCGCTAAACAGCTCTCGCAGTTAGCAAAGAAACATGTGGGTACATGCATAATATAAGTAGAGGTAGATGCAGTGCATGCGTATGTCTGTGTTTGTACATATTACATACCTTCCTCAGTAGGGACGTATATATTGAGGTAGAGACAGTCTTCACTCTGCTGTGCCAGGTATGCGCTGGCTATGTCCAGGTTGGCAGAGTACCAGAGAGGTAACATCTCTGTCAGCAGCCTATGTTCCTCTACAGGCTGGGGGCAAACGGGGGAGAACTGGGTGGCATTTCTCACCCCCGGCCAGGACAGGGGGGGCTCAGGGGGCTGGAAGCGTCTCTCCCCGGTGGGGGGACGGGCGTAGGGGACCCCCAGGTACTGGACCACAGGGCCCAGCAGGTCAGAGGGCAGGGGGGTCAACTGACCCCTCAGTCTGCCCTGGGATGTGGTGATGACTGACTGGCTAGCAGCAGGGGGGAGGTACAGGACAAGGGAGAGGAGAGGGGGGAGGATGCCCCTCAGTTTGTACAGGGACAGGAGCATGGAGAGGACACACAGTAGAGAGGAGGGGAGAGAGGGTAGAGGGGTGGGGGGAGATATGTGGGAGGGACGGTGGGAGCGTTGGCGTTCGGTTTAGATCAGGACTCCGACTGGGAGTCTAGCACACACTCAAACAGCGATGGACAGTTTTTTTGTGTGTGTCTCAGAATATCTCTCTCCTCCCTGGGTCAGCCACTCACCTCCCGGTTCTCTCCGTACAGTGACACTGTTCTGCCTGGAGGGAAGGAGAGAGACAGAGACAGACCTTGAATTATATATATACAGTACCAGTCAAAAGTTTGGACACACCTACTCATTCCAGGGTTTTTCTTTATTTTTACTATTTTCTACATTGTACAATAATAGTGAAGACATCAAAACTATGACATAACACATATGGAATCATGTAGTAACCAAAAAAGCCAATCAGTTGTGTTGTGACAAAGTAGGGGTGGTATACAGAAGATAGCTCTATTTGGTAAAAGACCAAGTCCATATTATGGCAAGAACAGCTCAAATAAGCAAAGGGAAACGACAGTCCATCATTACTTTAAGACATGAAGGTCAGTCATTACGGAAAATTTCAAGAACTTTGAAAGTTTCTTCAAGTGCAGTCACAAAAACCATCAAGTGCTATGATGAAACTGGCTCTCATGAGGACCACCACAGGAAAGGAAGACCCAGAGTTACCTCTGCTGCAGAGGATACGTTCATTAGAGTTAACTGACCTCAGATTGCAGCCCAAATAAATGCTTCACAGAGTTCAAGTAACAGACACATCTCAACATCAACTGTTCAGAGGAGACTACGTGAATCAGGCCTTCATGGTCCAATTGCTGCAAAGAAACCACTACTAAAGGACACCAATAAGAAGAAGAGACTTGCTTGGGCCAAGAAACACAAGCAATGGACATTAGACCGGTGGAAATCTGTCCTTTGGTCTGATGAGTCCAAATTTGAGATTTTTGGTTCAAACCGCCGTGTCTTTGTGAGATGCAGAGTAGGTGAACGGATGATCTCCGCATGTGTGGTTCCCACCATGAAGCATGGAGGAGGTGTGATGGTGTGGGGGTGCTTTGCTGGTGACACTGTCAGTGATTTATTTAGAATTCAAGGCACACTTAACCAGCATGGCTACCACAGCATTCTGCAGCGATATGCCATCCCATCTGGTTTGCGCTTAGTGGGACTATCATTTGTTTTTCAACAGGACAATGACCCAAAACACACCTCCAGGCTGTGTAAGGGCTATTTGACCAAGGAGAGTGATGGAGTGCTGCATCAGATGACCTGGCCTCCACAATCACCCGACCTCAACCCAATTGAGATGGTTTGGGATGAGCTGGACCGCAGAGTGAAGGAAAAGCAGCCAACAAGTGCTCAGCATATGTGGGAACTCCTTCAAGACTGTTGGAAAAGCATTCCTCATGAAGCTGGTTGAGAGAACGCCAAGAGTGTGCAAAGCTGTCATAAAGGCAAAGGGTGGCTATTTGAAGAATCTCAAATATAAAATATATTTTGATTTGTTTAACACTTTTTGGTTACTACATGATTCCATATGTGTTATTTCATAGTTTTGATGTCTTCACTATTATTCTACAATGTAGAAAATAGTAAAAATAAAGAAAAACCCTTGAATGAGTAGGTGTGTCCAAATTTTTGACTGGTAGTGTACATACTGCATGTACATTGAGACTCCTCCTAGTATGTGGGCTGAACTGGGCAAATTCCCGCTTCAACTGCCAGTTGAAAAAAATAGCATGCAAGTTTTGACACAGCCCATGCTGCAAATAAAGGCAGACTTGAAAGTATAGACATGAAGACCCCATTAAAAAAACATCACTGGCCAGAGAGAACAAGCTGTACAACCTCTCAGGGTGCAGAATGGTAGAAACTGAGAGACATGTTCTCCTCTCATGCCCCAACTATAGAGTAAGTGAGAGTAATCTTGGTAGCATTTTACATTAGCTTGGAGGCTACAGCACAGGATAAAGTGGTAATAACATGGCAATAGCATGGTGTAATTATGTTATTGTTTCAGAGGAATAATCTGTTCTGCCTACATTCAAAATCAACATGCCAACAGTATTGGAGCTGGCAGCATTGTACCTGACAACAACCTGTCATGAATTAAGGAGGAAAAAAACAGATCAAATACCCCAATATTACTCTTTAGTTATTGAAATTGTTATTAATGTTATTTCCTCGTAATTACTGGTTTCTAAATCTCAGCCCATGCTGTTAAATTCAGACCCCATCTCCCCCAAACTCCGCCCCCCTCCATGCGCATATTCTTTTTTAGGACAAGTCATTTTTCTTATTGTATTGATATTGTATTGGCCGTTCCCATTCGTGACAATAAATGTAATTTTAATTGATTTGATTTTAGAGAGAGAGAGAGACAGAGACAGAGAGAGAGGGGGGAGTTAATATTTGCGTACCACAAATAACATCTAAATGTATCTCTTAGCTGTGACTGGTAGGCCTGCTGCAGCTGCAACGTCAGGTATCCTATGTCTGGGCCTGTATCAGCTGCATATAGCTGAATATTTTAATCAGAGCCCAATCCTCTCCATTCGCTGCAGTGACACCCCGCAGGTGCTACAGGGGCCATGACACAGGTTGTGCAGCTTAGATCATGACGCTTTGACTCCGGACATATCTAAAGAAAAGCAACCTTATCCATTTGCTATCCAGCTATATTATCTATCTACAGCCTATAGTGAAATACATTCTATAGCGGGTTTTAGTCACAACATTTTCAATGTGAAGCGCAACATCCGATGAATAGTAATCGAGTGTTGTAGCCTACAGGACACCAAACACACACACACACTCACACACAGAGAGAGAGCGAGAGAAGAACAGGGTGATAAATGAGACTCACCGACACACACGTCATAGCTCCATTGGTCTGTTAATGCGGCTGCTGCGGTCAAAATGTCAGCTGGAAGAACATTTCATCCCTCACCGCGAAGAAAAGAGAAGAGGGAGAGTGGGGACAGTAGAGCGGTGAGAGAAATCCCGGGACCGTGTGTCACCGGACTGCAGAGCCTCGTGCGCCAGCGACGTGCCTGGGGTAAATTCCACCGATGCCGTGAGCTCCCGGGAATAGCCTACGTGTTTATTGTCCGAACCCCGCAACAACTGAATACGGTACTGGACGTGATGATCGTTAATGAATAACAAAAACACGACGTTCACATCTCCCTCTCTCTTCCCATCTCTGTCTTTCTACTCTGTCGCTCCCTCTCGCGCCCTCTCTAAAGATGCTATTGGACAGTGTTGAATGGAGCCTGCAGCCAATAGATTCCTGCACCCTCATCAGCTTGGACACACACACACACACACAAACAAACACGGGACAGGCTATCAGTAATCACAACACAGCTCATCTTAGCTTCTGGATCCAAGTTGGGAGAACTGTGTCTCAGGCAAGATGGAACATAAATGGGATGGGATAACTTCAAAATACCTTTCTTCCATTTGATACAAAAAAGATAAGGCAGCCATTGCCAAAACCACACATTTTCTCGATAGCAGCACCGTAAAATACATATGAATGTTGTTGTTTTTTAATCACACAAACAGCTTCTGACAAACAACCTTCAAACAAACAATCAAACTATCTGAGTCACAAGATGACATCACATTAGTGTGTTCTGTCTCCACCTATGTCTGTGTTCTTTCCTGGGGCCATTCCTGTTGGACTGTGTGACACATGACTCACCCAATTACCTCAATCCTTAGCCTTCAATGTCAGCTCAGTTTAACCCTAACTGTAACCCATGATGCCACACAACAAAGACGATTCTCCCTAGACTTTGCCACCCCAAAGTGGATATGTGAAATTTGGCCTGCTGGCCCATGGATTACTAAACAGACTATCTGGTTCTATAAAACAGATTAGGCACTGCACACATCTTACTTTGGGGCCCCCGAAGTAGCAGCAGTAAGCCTGCAGAGAATGGTAACCGCTTTACTAGAAATACTGTTGAGTGAGTGTGTGTGAATGCTCTCCTGCAGATGAGGTATTTTCGGGTCCAAAAAGTTGGAACTGGACCCGAGAACAAGCAGAACCGGACCAGAATGGACCTGATCATTTAAGAAAAAAGGGGGACCCAGACCCGAATGAACCCGAGAACAATCAGACCCGGACCCGACGACATCCAGACCGATTGGACCTGAGTGACAAAAAAAATTGTATCAGCCAAGTTGCTCTTCTGGTTAACGAATAGGTCCTAGATCCCTGCTGTTTGTTGTTTTCAATCTTCCCTGTGACCTGCCATGTCTGGAACTGCGAGGAGTAACAGTGTAACATACGTTGCTAGCTACCATGACAAAGACCAAAGCCAGCGGGAGTACTGTTGAGGACAGTGGTGTCTCTCTATCACAGGTGAAGGATCTTTTAAACAAACAAAAATAGTTCTACAAGCAGTTGTTACAACAACAAGAAAATGGCTTCAAGTGTTTTGTCCAAATACTGGTGGATTCAACTAATAAAAGAATGGACAACCTGACCAGAGAGGTCCAGGACCTGAAGAACAGTTTGCAGTTCTCCCAGTGTCAACTCGATGAGTTGAAACAGGAGAACGGCAAGATGACAGCAATCTGTAAGTCATTGAGAGAGGACATCAGTTCTGTGTGTGAATCCATGATAACAATGACGGATAAATCAGACTCTCGAGGGAAAATCAAGGTGGAACAACATGGTTGTGGACGGAATTGCAGAATCTCCACATGAGACCTGGACGGAATCTGAGGACAAAGTGAGGGAAATGATATCTGAGAAATTGAAGATGGACCACAGGAAGATTGAGGTGGAGCACACCCACAGGACTGGAAAACCCACCACCGGCCCAGGTGACAGGCCCAGGCCGATAGTGGTCAAGTTCCTGAGGTTCAAGGACAAGGTAGCTGTTCTGGAAAGAGCCAAGAACTTGAGAGGAACGTATATCTTCCTCAACGAGGACTATCCTGAAGCTGTGCGCCAGAAGAGGAAA